ATTCATAAAGATACATTAAATTATTTTTATATTATATAATATGAATGTGAAATCAAAAGTCGTTAATGATTAATTTAATATATTATATTTAAAAAATAAACTACAAATAATATTATTTTAAATTATAAAAAATAAGAACAATACATATTTATAATGATTAATATATGTAATTTAAAAAAATAAAAGATAATATATGATATTTTATTTAAAAATAAAGTAAAATAGTTTTATGGCTATTCTGAGGTCTAGTTGTAAAACCAAACTTAAACATGTGTCAATTCGAACGAGATATTATGTTTATGCTTAATAAATTTTTGGAGCATATGAATCTATAATTTAAACTCCACATATTTTGAATTAATATATACTACTATAATACTCGTGTAGTACACGGGTGTTGAGTTAAGAAATATATTATAAAAGTTATTGCTAAAATAAATTTTTTATTTAAAAATTTTTATGAATTAATTAATGAAAAAAAAAGTGGAATAGACAATGCAGAAAGTGATTTGTAAATCGTAATTTATGAGAGAAATATGAGAGAAAATTATAATATGGTAAGATTGCTCCTTCCCCAAACTAAGAAGGTGTACTAAGAGAAAAAAATAACAAAATTCAATATACACTTATCAAGTTTGAAAAAAGTTATTTATGTCTAATACCAAGCCTAACTCCATAGTAAAAATGAATATATAAACAACATTGCGAAACATAGATTTCCGACATGTCAGCATCCAAAGCGTGAGAATCTGCCACTTAGGCTCAACATATTTTGAATTAATATACAGGGAGGGACTAGTACAATACCCATGTACTACACGAGTCTTGTAAAGATTTTTTTTTTTGAAATTAAATAATAATAACAACAAAAAGTGTTTTAGTTTTTAAATACTTTTATGGAAAATATATTATTATTTATATTTGAAATGACACGGTCACTTAAAGGACTTACTATCTTATATTATAATTTTTTAGTTAATATGAGATAAGTAATTTTTAGTTAAGTTAATTTAAATAACTTATTTGTTTGAATTGATATTAATAGGTAATTTAATTTTAATTATAAAGATATATAAAATTATCTATTAATTTTGTAGGTATAATATAGATGTCAAATTGAAGTCTATTAAGACATGATTAATTTGATATATAATATATAAAAAATTGCTAATAAATAAAAAAATGACTCTTAAATAAATTTATAATTTAAGTTCGTAAATTTGTTATAATTTTAAAATAAGTATGAAGAAAAAAGAAAGATTGAGAAAAAAATATCTTATAAATCACATCTAAAATAGGAAATGATATTAAACCATAATTTATGCTCTTAAAAAGACATAAATATCCAGTGTATTTGTGGATATTCCAAGCCTTACTTTTAGATTGAAAATAAATTAAAATTCATCCAAGTCAAACAACAAAGTTAAAAAATTTGCCACATAAGATTCCGAAGTGTGCGAGCTTATCACTTAGGCTAAGCACATTCAGGATTGTATATAGGGGATATAGGGGATATAGTTGTCATATTACATTTTTAGAATCCTATCCACTTCTCTTTCTCACTTTTCCCCAGCTCAATTCCGACATATAGGTGTAAACGAGTGAGTCGAACTTGAGTTTTAATGAGTCAGTAATCGAGTTCAAGCTCGACTTGTTTATCAGTATTAATGAGTCGAATTCGAGTTTTAACGAGTTTAATTATTAGAAATTATATTTTTACCCTTATTGAGTCGAGTAGAACTCGATTCATTAACTAATCGAACATCAAATGAGCTTGAGTTCGACTCGTTTAGCAAACAAACTTCCCAAACTAACAGATCCACTCGTTTTGGGCTCCCCTCTCTCTCACACTACATCTTCCTAATAAACCCTTATAATTGTCATTTATTACATTTCCCATAGGGAAAAAGTCTGTTTCATTCAATACAAAAAAATATTACTACTATTTTTACACCATTCATTTATAATTTAATAATTGCATTCCATAAATTGGTTATATGAATGGATCGTAATCATTGCACTTTAATTTTATACAAATCTATATATATATAATTACTAGTTAATCACATTTAATAAAACATTTAATAAAAATATTTTCACTTTCCCTCCAAAAGGAATTACATTTTTTTTAATTAATTACTCACTAATCTCACATTTAAGAAGGTTTCTTTTAGTTAAACCTAATTAGTTAGTGTCTAAATTAAAAAAATTTCTTTTAGTTAATCCCACATTTATGTTTCTTATTCTCATTTATATATTTAAACGTGGCATTCATTATTGTTGTGCAAAAACTATATATTATTATTTTTTTATTCCATTATGAATTGAATAAGCAATTAAAATTATAAAAAATATTAATAAATGTATTAAATACAAACATTATAATACAGATCATGTTACATTACAATATAAAAAATAAAATTATTTTTTTTTTGTAATTTAATTTTCAGCCATACTCCATCAAACATATAGCTGCAAAATGATAAGAAAGATTAGTTTCATAATTAAATTAAATATTTAACTTCCCGAAATGGTAAAACCTTATAAATTAGTAGTATAGATACATTTAAATGACATATAATTTATAAACTTAGACTATACACATAATAAGATGTATTAAAAAAAAATTAATGAATTAAATATATATATTATTATTATAGCACAGTCTATATAATTATTATAGCAAAGTCTATATTGTCAATATTATCATTTAAAAAGTTCATTGAAAAAAAAATATGTATAAAAAAAATCCATATGATCATAATTAATAGTGCAAAAGTAACTATTTTTGACTTTCCATTTGGTAGTAATAATAAAATATTTTATATTACTACTATTCAATAAAATGCATGATTTGTGGAGATTTGATTATCGCAATCAACATTCTGTTTTATAAAAAAAATGTGCTGAATAAATTTTCTCATATTTTTCATTAAAAAAAAAAACTGTTGGCCGTGAAAAAAATATTATTTCACAATTATAAATATAAATTTGATTAATTTTCATTAAACAATTTCTCTTTAAGAAAAAAGTGGCGGGACAAATTTCTGCATGATCATAGCATCAAAACATATCTAAAACATTAATATTTTAATGCATTAAAAACCATACTTTGAGCAAACAGAAAAATCATAATAAACGAAAATTGGCAAAGTCAAAGAATGAGGATTGACAATACATTGTATGTAATGGAAGATTGTTGCATAATATAGATATATCAAGCATAATTAATAATCAACAAAAAAAAATGTCAAATCTATATGAAAAAATCAAAATTGAAAACACAGCAAATTATGTGGAACATTATTGGACACTATACAATATAGAAAAAAATAATTTGATTTCCCTATCATTATCAACACATTCAACTTTTACCATGGCATCTGTCTTTATATTAAAATCAATTTTTTGCGTAAAAGTTTTAAAAATAAAAATTTCTACAGATTCTTTTAAACATTAAACAAGAAATTCCTAATATGCGATAAATATATCTTAACAAATTTGTTATAAACTTACCTAATATTTTTAAATTTTGAACAAAATACTAAAAAATTTAAAAAAACTTCGGCAAAAGACTTTGAACAACTCTGAAAAGCGATTTTGAACAAGTGTTAGCAAAGCTTCACTTACTGATATGATGAGAAAGACGAAAAAAAATTGAACTGTTTAGTGTTCAAAATCTGAACAAAATACATAAAAGTTACATATGTATGTTATAAACATATATGTTATAAACTTACCTATATATTTGTTAGTAGAGCTGAACAGATCTGTTAGAAACTTATTTTTTCAAACCCTGAACAAAATACATAGAAGTTTGAAAAAGTTCGACCAATGTCATGTACTCATGTTCTCTTCGAAAAACGATTTCGAAAAACATCTAAATAATTTCGAATTATGTATAAAATATGATATATCTTTGAAGCTTATGCACAAAAAATTTCGAAAAACGACACAGATCATTGAAAGTAATAAAAAATAAAAACTACGTTTAACAAAAATATTTCAGCTCTTCATAATTTGTAATATTATCGCCTGATTTTGACTGACCTGTTAAGATTTAGCAACACAGATTAAGAAATCGGGACGATTATTTATTTTTCGATCACTACTGTTGGCCACAAAAACAACATTTCTCGGATGTTTTTTTATTTTTTTATTTTTTAAGCCTTTACTGGGAGAAAATCTTCGGTAAAACATTTGTTTTGTATTGAATCTCCCCGAGTTTTTCGTAAGATCTGGTTAAGGATTAGGGTTTCAGACAGAGTGAGTAACGAGAGAAACGCCGACATCAAACAAAAAAAAAATGGCTTACATCACTCTCAATAGTTTATCTCTATTTATAGTCATGTTATCATTGACCTGTTTTATATTTGGTTTTGGTTACCCTAAAAAATTAAGTGGACTTCTAATTTGGGTTTATTTTTTATCATTCAATCAATATATTTCTTTATGGCCCAAAAATTACCATTTTGTTCAAATGTCTTAAATATTTGGCACATATCATTATTTATCAACCAAATAAAATTATTTATTTTGTAATATTTTGCTGATTTTTTTTAATATATATTTTTTTTAAATTATATGATCTATAGTACAAAATACAATAATTATTTAAAAAAATAAAACCATTATATGTCTTAATTTGAAGATAGTGATTTGTAGTGATGAAAATCCTGTTGATAGTAAAACCACAAACGCTGTATATAAAAATTGTTTAAGAATATTTAGTTATTCTTTCTTAGAACATTTTTCAATGATTATATTATGATTTTTACTATTGTTTATATTTTTTTATTATTTTTTATTCTATTATATTGCTTTCCGTGCAAATGCACGGACTAAAAACTAGTTGACTGTATAATTGTTGAATATTTATCATATAATTGTTGCATATTTATTGCACAATTTTCATATTTTTTGAGATGAAAAAATTAATTTACGCGGTGAAAATTATAATACATTTATAATTGAAAATACTATTTTCACTTCCCCTGAACCCTATCCACTTCTCAGTCCCACTTTCCCCCACCCAAGTCCCACACCCACACGCCACACCCTTCCTCTCTCACACACTACACACACCTCTCTCTCTCTCTGTCTCTCACACACACACACACAGTCACGGCTCGCAAGGTAAAACCCACATTACCATCAGTCGTCCATGGTCTTTATCTGAAAAGAAAAACGAAAAAAGGAAAAACTTCAAGCATCAAGAATCCAAGATCAAAATTTTTTCTCCTATCAAAGGCGCTGCTTTTGGGCGCAAAAAAGCTCTGCTCAGCTACAGTAATGGCGGACGGAATTACCCTTTGATTCTTGCTTAAATTCCGAACCAGCCCTTCATCTCCCTAGATTCCACCTACCGTTGGATACAAGATACCGTCCCCATGGAAGTCATTTGACCGGCTTAACTCATCCATTTCTCTTTTTTCCCTAACACTTGATAGCAACTATTTTTTGCTGCAGGGCGCAGTGTGTATATAAGCACTTGCGATTTTGTGAATATGGATTTTGCGGAGGAGGTAGGGGAGAGCTCGTCGCCGCCTCGGAGCTACGGCAGTTTCGGCGGCGGCGGGAGTGGTGGTGGCGGTGGTGGAGGAAATGATTTGATCAGGGACGAGGTTTACAGTCGATTGATGGAGAATAGGAATGAGGAGGCGATTAGTAATCCTGATTTTCGCGAGCAGTTGGAAGCTCACTTCAATCGGCTGCCTCCAAGGTACTAAGTGGTGCGTGTGTGTGTGTGTGTGTGTGTGTGTGTGTGCGTGTGTGTGTGTGTGAGGGAAACTTGAATTAACTGTACTTGTATGTTAAATCGACTAAATTCTGTTTTTAACTTTTTTCCTCTTTATGTGAATATCTTGAGATATTGCAAGGAGCTTTTGCCCCCTCCTTTTGCTTTTGTATTCTCATGTTACTTAATGTAGTGTATGGTTTGCAGGAAAAGAATGCCTTCTTTTCATTAGAACTTGTCCAATCTGTACATGTGTGTAATTTGGCTTAGCATGTGTGTGTTTATGCATTCCAAGTTCTTTTGGAAGCGGGTATGATAATTTGATGTGTTACACTAGCTTGAACCATCAACCTTTTGGAAAATATTTGGTATTTTTGTGTAAAGTATTAGTGATGTATTGTTTAAGCTTTTCTTTATTCTTCTAAGGAGTAAGAATAATCCTTATGGCAAAAGAAAAAGTAAGAATAATGCTCAAATATTTAGTTTTTGGAATTTACATAAGGATCTTGGATTTTTGGGATTTTGACGATATATTAATTCAATAACAAATTTTATTTATTTGTTTCTCAACTTTAGCTCCAGGCATTCTATAGCTGCAACTGATTGCTTTTGGTGTTATTTTGACTCAGTTATGGGCTTGATATCAACATGGATAGAGTGGAAGATGTGTTGTTGCATCAAAAGCTTCTTGCAAGGGCAAAGGATATCGATAATCAACCTGTTTTCCACATCCGTTTTCTGGAGGTGCATTTTAGTGAATTTTGGTAGCCATAAATCTCATTCTAAAGATGGTCCTTGGATTTGACGGGACATAGATGACCCACAATTGAGTGGAAATTAGCATCATTTGTTATCATTGCTGCCTTCAGAGCATAAAGTTGATCCTTTTGTGTTTTACAATTTGAATAAAATTGGCATAGTGGGAATGCAAGAATACAGATGACATGTATATACTTACAGACGATTTTTTTTCTTTTCCTTTTTTAACTTTTGAGGAGTCGAGGGGCTTTCATACAAAACTTGGAGAAACAATTCGGGAATAGTGAGATTTAAGCAACCATGATTTAGCAAAGAGTAAATAAAGCTGTCAATGTTTTGGAAAGAAAAAAAAAACACTAAGTAGTAACCTTACTTGCATAAAGTGACCATTAGATAATTTTATGTTGTGATATTTGTAATTGTAAGACTTTATGAAGAATAATTTAACTGAATGTTGACCTGATAGATTAAATTCTGTGACGGTCTTCATCATCCAGTGCCCGATGGATAATATACCTTAATCGTTCATAGTAAGCATATACTCTGGCTGTTGCTGTTTCAAGTGTCTCAACTGTCAGCAGAGAAGTTTGGGCCTTTCTATGTTTGTCCTGCCGGAAGATGCTTGCAGCTTTCGATTTCCCTTATTTTTTTGGGTTAACATGATAATTCACTGCTCTATAGAATTTTCTATTGCGGAAATGCTTGTCCTTTTCAAGAAGCTGCTGGATCTTATCCCCTTGAATTTGACTCATTTGATATTGCTTTTCAGTTATTCATAGTTATAATTTTTTCATCCCTATATGTACCTATGCTAATTCTCTTCATTTTTCATTGTGAATTTTTCTTCAGAACGTTTGTACTAGAAGTGATGAGTCTGATGGTGAACCAGTTCCAGGTCCTCTTGTCTCATTTCCACGCAATAATGCCAATAATGGCGCCCAATCTTTACAGGGAAGGTACTTGTTATTGAGACAATTCATAGATCCTCACTTCCTAAAGATTAGTTTTCTTTGTGCTTTAAGAGACAATATATAAATGCCTGCACGAGTGTGAATGCTCACTTGCGTGCATGGGACCCTTATCCTTTTTACTCTCTATTTGCGATTGGAAACAGGAATTCTGGGGGTGAGTTTGAGACTTGCACTAAACTTGAGGATCTAAATTTGGATGTTAGGAAGAATTCAAATGGCACAAACAATGAGACTTCTGCTGAAGATCCTATCTCAAGGTGATTTCTCTAATTTTGATGGTGTTTTTCCCATTGTTATCTTTCAACTCTTAATGATGGAATTTTAGTTGTATTTGAGGACGCTATTTCACTTTTAGTTGATATCTCTTGATGGTGAGATAAAGCATGAGCATTATACTGAAGAAAATGAGACTGATTAACGTTGAAAAAAGTAGGTAAGGATTTAAAAATCTCATTTATATCTAGAACTACAAGTCGAGAGACACGAGATTTGACTAAAGTTTTTGGTCCTTTAGATATTACTTTCTAAACTCTGAGATGTGAATGTGGTTTTTACTTTATATGATAGGGTGTCTGGTTGTAACCTGCTTGTTGACCTCAATCTGGAACCTAAAGATATATCTATATGATCTGATGGATTTTTTTCAAGTTTCTTATTAGTTGCCAAGAAAATTTTTCTGACTTTAGCAACTAATTTGCCAACTGCTTCATTTGCATTGTTCTAATAGCTTTACTGTAGGTATATGTTTTAGTACTAAGTTTAATATTGAGAGATGTTTAATGCAGGCAGGAAGAATTGCACACACCAGTTCACGAAGTGATATTTTCAACTCTTGACAAGCCGAAACTTCTTAGTCAGGTATAAAATAAGGGTTTTTATTTGTTTGTTTGTTTGTTAAATTTGAGGTCCTTACCGAGTCACCGGTCATTGAGTAGATGCTGGCTGTTTTTTGTTTCTGCTAGCAATCATCAATTTATACAGTGAATACATTAATTTCATGCCAATTTTTTTTTGTGTAAAATGGTATTTCATCATTCTCCCAACAAAATGAGAAAACTTCAATATTGTTTGTCGATCGATCTCAATAAGTTGTTACTGAAGTATCTGTTAGTCATCCTCTTATTCTTTGTTTTGTTTCCTTTTCCAATTTTCTTTTCCCCATTGTTTTTCATCGTCTGCATCACCATCTCTGCCCAGGTACATTTTTGATGTTTCAGATTTTAGCACTGACCATGCAAATTATTCTTTTTCCCTTTATTTTCTGAATTTTTTGATCTGCTTTGTCCTGTTTTGCAGCTTTCTGCTTTGCTGTCTGATATTGGACTTAACATTCGTGAAGCTCATGTATTTTCTACGACCGACGGTTACTCTTTAGATGTATTTGTTGTTGACGGATGGCATGCTGAGGTATCTCTGTTTTTCTATCAAATTTTTAATAAAAAATCTACCCTCCCCTGATCTATAGTAGAAAAAAAAATCTAAAACTTATGATCAAATAGAGAGCGTTAGTCAATATTTTCATTTAATTATAATAGTACTAGGCTTATGATCCTCATCGTCTGTGCATTGGCTGGAAATTATCTCCCTCCAAAGATAATTAATATGAAGGAAAATGTACATCACTGTACTATTGAACGATTGCATTTTATTTTCCTGTCCTTTGAGCGGCAATCAGTTCATGAGAGGGGTATTACAATCAATTATGTGAAGTTTATAGTGAGGAGCTTTTCTCTGGGATGTTGCTGAGTTTGCAATATCGTGGCTAGGACTCAGAAGGATTAAATGAAGCAGTGAAGAAAGCAATTGCTGGATGCGAGGTAGTTATTTGGACTTTCTATATTTAGTTAATTTTTTTTTTTTCATGTCAGACCTTTCACCTAGATGAATATGCGTTATTTTTCTCAGGTTAGATGGTTCGTTGAATTCCATTTTATACATTGTTCTTTGTTTTTCTTTTTCGTTTTTTCCTTTTTCTTGATTAGCAAATTTATATAACTATATTCATTGGGTAATCGGTTATTCGATTATGCATTTTTTTTACTCTGAAACATTAGTTGCTCATTGCGAATTGCATAATTCATTATTTAAGCTCTGCTATACTTCATCTTAGATGGAATATTGATTCCGCATAAGATATTCTATTAGATTAAAGTTTATTTTATTTGGCTGCCAATAAACCAATCCCGGAAAGGTTCATGTTTCAACTGATCCAATCTTGGTAGTTTGCTGTTTGCAATGTCACAGCTTTTTGACACAAATGCAACATTTATTAAAGTTTCTGTTAATGCAACATGTATTAGTGTTGATGTGATGTGTAAAAATGATTGGTTGATATTATTTAATTATATTGATAATATTGAGGATAGTGGAATTGAGTTAAAGTTGAGTTAGATTTGAGTTAAAAAAAAGTGATTGGTTAAAAATGATTGGAATTTTTTGGAAAAATTAGGTAATCCTATAAGCTATAACTCTTGGCCTTCAGTGAATTTTCCTCCCTTTTGCCATTACCTATTTAAATGGCATATGTGACTTCTCAAAATTATTTTTATTCTTTCAAGAGTTGCAGATTACCATCCGAGGATGAACAATTTTGCTTAAACCAAATTCTCCGCTTTACATTTATTTAGGGATCATGGTCCGGTTCTTCTCGCTCTCACTCAATCTTGGAAAGAATCATTGGGGAGCAAACGAAACATGAAGATTGGGAAATCGACTGGAGATTGTTGAAGATGGGCGAAAAAATTGCTGCCGGATCTTGTGGAGATCTGTGAGTTATTCCCCGAGAAAATGTATTTATCGATTTATTTGGCTCCAACTCGTTATTTTTCTTATGCTTTTACGTGTTTGCATGGACAAGGTATCGTGGAGTGTATCTTGGTCGGGATGTTGCTATTAAGGTCCTAAGGTCTGAGCATCTGAATAAATCTCTGGAGGCTGAGTTTGCACAGGAGGTTGCTATTTTAAGGTATCGATTATTGCAGCTTGTTTTCAATTAAGATCATTTTGTAACTGCTTTGTTGAATTTGTGATGTTTTGCAAGGTTGCGCTTGTTAATAGTTTACAGAGTTAAAATCATCTTTGATGCAAACTAGGTTAACTGTCTGAAGCATACCCTTCCACTTTAATAAGAAACAGTAAAAGAAGAATCAGATGCCGCTATATTCATTTTTTATTTATTTATTTATTTTATTTTTTCCGGATAAGTGTAAAATGCACTTAACTGAATTTTTGATTTGTTTTTGGATGCAGACAAGTACACCATGAAAATGTTGTACGTTTCATCGGGGCTTGTACCAAATTGCCACATTTATGCATAGTAACAGGTATTATTGCCTTCGTTCTGAATCAAATTGACCTGCTTTTCACCTGAAGTACCGACTACGAAAATTTCCAAATTATATGATTTCTAAAGGTAGCTAAATACGCCAAAGATATTTTATTTTTTTAATTATCGATAGCTGCATGGATATATATCTACAAACAATGACGGATTTAGATGAGGTCCAGGGGGGCCGTGGACCCCCCTGATTTTTTCAAAAAATCATTACATATATACATATAAAAGATATTATGAAATATAGATAAAAATGCAAAAAAAATATCTATAATATATAAACAATTAAAAATTAATTTTATGCTATTTTAATTTAAATTAATTATATTATATATTTGTTGGAAAATACCCTAACAATCTTATATTTTACATTTTTAGACAACTTTTTGAAAATGTTTATAATCATTCGGCCTCTTAATTATAAGTCAATTTAGTGATTTATAAAAACGAGTAACTGATTGGATTGTTAGATTTTTTTATGTAGATTTTAACTTTTTTTGTGTAATCGCATATTTTTAGATTTGTTTTTTCTTAAAAAAATGGTCATTTGATAAACACACATCAACAAAAATGCTATGCAATATGTTGTAAATGTTTAATTTAAATCAAATTTTCAACCATAAAACTTATTTTCCATAAATTATAGATGTTGAACTTAAATTATAAATACATGAAATTTTATTTTATTTTTTTTAAGTTTGAGGGTGATACCGATTATAAGTTTGTAAAAACTTGATGGTACACATATCAATATTTATATTTATATAAACACATTTTTATATTAAATTAGCGTTTCGATTTAAACTACAAGCTCGTTATTTAACATTTAAAATCGGACCCCCCTGAGTAAAATTTCTAGATCCGTCACTTTCTACAAAGTCTTAGATTTCAATCTTTTGCAACTTTATTATTAACTACTCGTGTTACTGTCGATCTCATTGTCTAGATTACACGCCTGGAGGGAGCCTGTATGAATATTTGCACAAGAATCATCACGTGCTGAAGCTCCCTCAGTTGCTCAAGTTTGCCATTGACATCTGCAGAGGCATGGAGTACCTACACCAGAAGAATGTTATTCATCGGGACTTAAAGACTGCAAATTTGCTCATGGATACTCACAACGTGAGTTACGCAGATATATATACCTGATTATTTCTCTTCGGATTTAAATTGCATTTTGGCTTTTTGGATACAATGAGATCACAAACTTTTTGAATTTCGTGAAATCTGGAAATTTGCGAACTGCAAGATCAATGTAGTTGAGATTGTTCTGCTTCTGTTACATATAGTTTTCATGACATGGCCTTTTTGATGTTTGTCGTGAATTTGTTTTTGAAGGTTGTTAAGGTGGCGGACTTTGGGGTTGCTCGGTTCCAGAATAAAGGTGGGGTTATGACAGCAGAAACGGGAACGTATCGATGGATGGCACCTGAGGTATATATATATAACCGTCTACTTTCCGAATTTAGTTATCTGTAATTTGTTGTATAAAATTTGATGCTTTTATTTTTCTATTTATTATTATTAATATAATTTTCAATTGGGCGATTCTGTCCTTGATCGATTCTTCAAGGCACAACATTTGTGGGAACTGGAATCCCTATATATCCGAAATTTAAAAAATATTTGGCACAATATATAATATTCATTTATTTGAAAAATAGGCAAAGTTTTTTGCTTTGATGGCTAGTACTCTGAGTTTTGTCCTCGATCTGGCAGGTGATAAATCATCAACCTTACGACCAAAAAGCAGATGTTTTCAGCTTTGCGATTGTTCTATGGGAGCTCGTCACAGCTAAGGTGAATATTATTTCAGTAACATGTCACGACAAAATGATGATTATTACTTTGTATCCCAAAAACTCGAGATAATTACATTTTTTTTTTCTTTTTTAGGTTCCTTATGACACCATGACTCCTCTGCAAGCTGCCCTTGGGGTGAGACAGGTTTGTAGAACTCCATTTTTAGCGTCTTTGAAGCGGTGAAATTATGCAATTTGTGAACTGTGTGTGTTCTGTAAAAAGTAAAAACACACATCAAATTACTCTTTCGTTTTCCACACATTGAACTGTCCACACGTGTGTGCTAGGGTCTACGACCTGAACTCCCAAAAAGCGCGAATCCCAAGTTATTAGGCTTAATGCAGAGATGTTGGGCAGCACTTCCTAGCGATCGACCTTCCTTTAGTGTTATATTAGTCGAACTCGAGGAACTTCTTGAGGAAGTAAAGGTATTTTGGTCAGAAAAAAACGCTTGAGTTCATTATATGCCAACTTTTGTTATATTAGTTCACTTTTTTCATAGATGAATTATTAAATTTTTGCAGGGTACTCGGAACTCACCCAACGGCTGCTGTTAGTATATATATAAATATATATTGACCATACACGAATGCCTCGACGTACTTTGATACTAACTGGTGATAATACTTTTCCTTTTTCCTTTTTCAAGTAGTCTTTACTCATTCCGGGCTCTTCACATGGATATAGAGATGAATTTTCTTTTACGCGGCTGCTGAGACACTCGTCGGGATGAAAACAATATCGGTATTATAGCAAAAATGTAGTTGGTAACAATTTTGGATGGGTAAGTTTTATCAGAAATGCTTGTGTACCTGTCAAGGATATTTTGTTTGTAACTTTTGTATCCTCTGGTTTTATTTCTAGTCATTCTCCCTAAAGAAAAGCAAACTTCATAGAAATGATATCTATTGAATAAATAACATGTGTTAAGTGGTGATGTTATATTTGTAAATGTATCAATCATCCAAAAAATACGAAGTAGCATAAAAACTGAGTTTGGCTTGACTCGTTTGGTAAATGAGTCGAGCTTGAGTTCCTTAAAGCTTGTTTAATTAACGATGCTAAAAAAATATGAACAATTATATTTTCTGTCTGCTTGTTAAGATTCAAGTTTGACTCGTTAATATTTGAGCTTAATCCGTTAATATTGATACACGGGTAGAAGTAAAGTTCAAGTCTTAGCTTGTTTAGTTAACTAGTTTGACTAGTTAAAGCCTTGAGCTCGACTGGCTCTTTAACACTCGTAATCAATATACATCTACACGGTTGTGCATCTGGGTATATAGAATGAGATATTAAAAGCATGCTTGGATACAAATTCATCCCAAGTACGAAAGTTGTACCAAATATAGAAATTGGGCCCTAATTTATGATCAAAATAATGTTGTCCCATGATATTTTAAGATTGTAAAGAAGAAACAACACACAAAATGGTATCCACAATATTATTCTCTGGCTCAAAATTTACGAAGAAAAAAATGTAAAGTTTAATATTATGTTCCCAAAGAACTTTGTACAGCAGACGGAAACAAGTACATAAAGAAAAAAGAGTGTGAAAATGAGTTTTCATTGTCAAGGCAGGAGGCTTGGGCCATTATTGGAGTTCTGTTTGGTTTCGATTTTTCCAATTTTATCCTTTTGTCTCTTTTCCTATGATTTTAAAGGTCCTAGAAACTTATATAATACGTGTTTGCATGATATAATATATAAGCACGTTCTGAGAGTTG